TTAATAAAAAAATAAGATATTTATATAAACATTTCAAATAGCAAAAGAAAAGTTATATTTGAAATTTCAAATAGAAAACGAATTCTTTCCGATAGCTGTTGAATTCTTAGTAGTCTATTTGCGGAGAGAAATTAATAGAGTTACAGACATACTACTAGAAATGCTATAGAGGAAAACCAAGATGTAAGCTACAGACCTACTATTAGAAATGTTATCATGGGCAAACCAACCATCGAAAACATGAATACATGAGGTCTCAAATACATCAAAAAACTGACAAATTCAACATTTCAAACACATAAATAAGAGAACATAACTACAACCCAAACAAAAGGGAAACAAAAGAAAAAGGTAGTTGTTAACTAAACTCGATCGCATCGAGATTGGTTTCCTGCTATTGAGATTTGAAGGCGAATATTGAAAACAAACGGAATTAAAAGTTTTGGAAATGAACGAGTATATGGGCAAATGGTAAAAGGATGTACTCAAAATGTTCGTAGAGAACGCCATTAGAGAGATTGCAAGTAGAAATAGAAAAACGAATAACCGGTGGTGGTTTATTGCACAAGCAAGAAACAACAAGAATTGAAAGAAATCGAAGCCTAAACTTGTGGAAGAGAATGTGAATAAATCAAACTCTGCAAATCGAAACCATACTTGTGAGAGAGTTTGATAGCGGTGGAACTTCGTTCAGGTCACAGTGAGGGTTCGAATGACCTAATTTTCGAACTTATTTGAAGGACAAAACATGTCATTTTAAATTTCTACGAGGACATTTATGTCTTTCACACACCTCTGAAATGCGTCTAACCACATTAAGGACCCGATCCGCCTCTTATCAATTAAGATCTGAATTTAAATTTCAGATCTACTAATAAGAGGGCATACCAAACAAAGGTGACATCTGAAAAGCAACCTTTTCAGACTTTAGAGGTCTGAAAAGTGTTATCAAATGCCGCCTTACACTTTCTTTCTTTTGGTTTTTAGTTTTTCAGCTTAAAAATTTGTATTCACATACACTACAGTGATTGTTAAACAACCGAAGTTCAAAATATTTCATCTTTATTCTTTTATGAAACTTATAAGCTATTTCATTGATTCAAATCATCCAAGAGTACCAGCAAGAAGAAATCAGGAATTGTCATCCATGTATTAGTGACCCTGAAAACTGAAATATCATATGGTACATAGTTACATACACATTGCAATACTTTGAACCTTGGTGTAGGTTAACGACATTGCATGAGCCACTAAGTTCAATTATTCATGGGAAAGTAGTATAAAAAGAATGTCACAATAATCCAGAAACACGAGATTTCTATTCTCAATTGCCCATACAAGGCCCCCTTTCACCTATTCAGAAAACCAATTGCCCATACAAGTCTTTGCTACGACCTACACCTTGCAGGTTTCTTGGGCCTGTTTGAATCTGCATAATGTAATCCGATTATAATGTAAGAGAAAGAAGCCCAATTGGAAATGTTATATTTATTGGTCATCAGTGCAGTTTTCATGGTTAAGAATATGGCCATAGAAGAACTTTACAACAAACTCAGGATTTTAAATCCAACTTTTGCCAATAATTGCGGAGTGTCCAATTGGGAAGCCAAGCGACTTGGTATGTATTCTTTTCTTTTTTAAATGAGCATTTTAAGGGCTTATTATGTCTAGAATCTCATTCATTGCATCATTTATCAATTTCAACCAAAATTTCAATTTTACACAATTTAGTAAGTCAGAATTGTTAAAAGCACTCATTTTGATATCAATATTTCAATAGACATATTTTAATTAGCATATAAGCTGAATCAATCTAATTATCTCCAAAAGACAAAAACTTTCTTTTCCAATTTTCTCATCATCATCATCATCATCAAGTATGGGGTCGGTTACATGAATCTTGATTCAGCAGCCCATTCTGTTTAATGTTATATCCATTGTTAAATTGTTGGAGCTTAAATAATTTCTTACTATTTTTAATAATGTTCTTTTGGGTATACCCTTTATATTTCTAACCCTTTCAACTTGTAATAAACCAATCTATCTTAGATTGCATTTAGCATTCCTTATTTTAAGGACTTATTTGTTTTTTGCAGTTAAAATGCCTCTAAGAACATTGAGCTTTTAACTGAAAAAATTAGACAAGTCCTTAAAATAAGGAATGCCAAATGTGGCGTTAATCTACTTTTTCTCATTTTATCACTTGGATATGCTTGTATATCTCTATGGGTGACTTCATTTCTGATCCTATCATTTCTAATTCTTTTTTCTGATGTATAAATAAATTGGCCCAAATCCTGAAAATAATTTCAACATGTATTTAAAAGAAATAAAAAGATAATAAAGCTCATTCTTTTGAGAAAAATTAGAAAAATAATAACTCATTCTCTGTAGAAACTCTAAATACTTAAACCAAATGAATTCACCCCATGGCCTAACTTTTCTAGTTTATTCCTTTCTTCTTCTTTGCAGCTTTTCCAGATTTTTCTGTGGCTAGTTTCCAACTTTGGGTCGTGGGTCAAGCTCGCAGGATTAGTTCTAACACCAGGGATGCTTAAACCTGAAAAATTAAATCCAAATAAAAAAAAAAGCAAGAGTCATATTCATATAGAAACAGTAATTAATTGAAGAAATTCCAAATAAGAAAAAGCTCTTTTAAATCCCACTTAGACTAGGTCGATATGTGGTTTTGGTGCTTGTGGTTGTGGACCCTAAGGTGGCGTTTGATAAATCTGAAATCTGAAGTCTGAAAAGTTAAAAACATATTAAAAGTATCTGAAATCTGAAAAGAGGTATTGATGCTTAGAGGTTTTGAATAATTAAGCTTATTTGTGTTGGACCAAACCTTTAACGTCTAAAATGCACTGATTTTACTATTTTACCCCTATAATACACTATTTGGTAAATTTGAGCTCTATTCATCGATGACACAAACCCATAACACTCGTTCTCTAAACACAGACAAAACCCTTGCCAAATCCCACACAGAAGGGTATTCCTAGAAGCCATAGGACACCCCAAAACCCAGACACCATTGAACAAATCCCATTATAACCGTCTGAAACTACTTGCACAGCCGTCTCATAAACAACCTTCTTCCATGGGTTGGGTGCAGAAGTAAAAATCCTGATGGACTCCCTAAAGATTTTGGTTGTACTCATCACTTGAACTGATTCAAAGACCTATGCCATTCTTCTTGCCATTGTGGGAAGAACAGAGGAAAGAGTAGGGAAGAACAGGGAAGAACGTCATACGAGCGTTTGTTCTGAGTCTGTTGGTCTCATCTGTGGCCACATTGGACTGGGGATTTACCCTTTTCTATTGAATACGCATACAAGAAAAAATAGGAAAACAGTCAAAACAAGTAGCAAAATACGCATCAATAAAAATAAAAAAAAAAACAAAATATGCATCAAAACAAAAATAAAATACGCATAAACAAACTTTCAAAATAGCAGAGAGATTATACACGACTATAAAAAGAAGAAGAAGAAGAAGAAGGTACCTTCGATGAAGATTTTCTGGTAGGCGCCTATAACCCTAAAACAATGAAGGTTTTCTAGTAAGAAATCTGAAGAAATAAGAAGAAGCAAAGAATTTACCGCCATGCAATGTTCACGACAGCAGAGAGTGTTTCGTGGGTTTGGAGGTTTTTACGTCTGAAACAATAGTAGGGTTTTCTTGGATTTGGGAGTCATCAGGAGTATGTGCATCATTATAAAAAAGTATAGAGGCTATTCTCGACCTTTTCATAGCTCTTAAACACGTCTGAGCACGTTAAGAACTTTCCCATACGATTAATGTTTTAAATCTAAAAATAGGATTTAGATCTGTTTTCAGATATTACACCAAACGCGTCTGATGTCTGAAAAGCAAGTTTTTCATACACATGTTATCAAACGAGCCCTAAATCTCAGCTCTTTTAAAATTCAAATCCCCACTTCTAGAGTTGGGTTCGGTTGGATCGGACTGGTTTATTTTGTCCCCATGTGCTAGTGATATAAATGCCCGGTCAAACTCCAACCTTGATAAGCTTTGACGCCCAACTCTTCTTTTATTAATGTCCATTTATTATAATAACGACTTTTCAAAATTAGGGTTTCTTTTCATGCTCTCGTTACTCCCCTTCCCATAAAGGAGTTCCCAGAAAAAGGGCCAGAACCCAGAAGTATCAAAAAATGGGTGGGCCTCACTTGGGTCTTGAGCCCTCACCTTGAAACCCGTCTCCGTCAGTTGGAGTATATAATGGATCCACAAACTAACTTCAGCACCAACCCAGACACGTATGCTCAGCTGCACCGTATCATTTCAGTATGTTGTCCCCTTTAAATATCAACCGTGGGGGTGGGACTACAGTACAAGAACCAGATCTGGGATCCCTGCCATCGAGGCTCCTTAGGCCTTGGTGGGCTTGGCCCATGTGGCCCACTCCATTCATCGTTCACTCAATTGATGCTATGTGCACGTTCCTAGATCTGATACCCTTCATTTTTTTTTTAAATATCTCTTCCTCTGGGATTCTTCTGCGCACTCTCTGGGTAGGCTACTACCAGTCATGTGATCCCTCTACCAAAGTCACCTTTGTTTTCTCCGAAATATCGTAAATGCCACTCACTGGCGTGTAAATAAGAAAAACCACTTAACCACACGGGTGTTGATATTTCCAAGACGAATTGCACGGTCCTTAGATTCGTCTCTTTCTTATGTCTAAATAGTGATATTCTGCATCGCGAGACACCCGAAGATTCAGACGAAGATCATCATTTTTAATAACCTCCCTATGATTCCCACTATCGTTAATAAACTACCACGTAGATATTGGTAGGGCCACTCTGAATCTTACGGTGTTCCCCATTACATGCAATCCTTTCTATCATTGAGTGAACGGCCACGTAGATTGGTGGTGAGAACTGGGGTCCTGAAAGACCGAGGGTATTTAGGTAATATTGGATTAATAAAGAAGTATTAACGGCTTCTAACTCGGAGCTACCAGTGCCACGTTTTCTCCCTCCATCTCTCTGACTCTCTGCTTCATCTCTGCATCTGCACTTATTGTTGTCTCGAGCTATCTAAATATACAAAACTAGAAAAGATTAAGAGAAAAACAGAGGGTTTTGGTTAATTTACGTTTTGATATATTGTGTGTAATGGGCGAAGTGTGCGACGACGACGATGGAATCTGAGAGGCCTCATCGAAGCGGAAGCACCGGCAGCGAGCTCTTCATCTGCTTCACTTCGAGACTTTCCTCTTCATCCATGAAAATTTCTTCTAAATCGATGCTCAGCCCTGGTCGCACGGATAAGTTCCGGGAACCCTCGTCTCTCTCGTCGTCGTTGAGCAGAAGACTTAGAAGTCATGGCAGCATGAGAGGTGGGCAAGCGTCGCCCATGTTCCCGACAGGAAACAAGAAGAGAGGCTCCACGTTCGACACTGCCGAACCCTCGTCCCCGAAAGTCACCTGCATTGGCCAAGTTCGCGTCAAGACGAAGAAACACGGGAAGAAAATGAGAACGAGATCGAAGCGATGTAGGAACGGGAGTTTCAGAAGAACAGAGCAAATCCAGGACGGTGTTCATCCGCAGCAGCATCAGGAGTGCTTACCGCACAGAAATCAGAGATGGGTTCATATCCCTTTGTCAATTTGCGAGGCTCTAAGAGCTTTCGGGGCCGAGTTCAACTGTTTCCTTCCTTGCCGGTCTTCGTGTACATCGACTAACGAAAGGGAAAAGGCAGAAAAGGCGAGGACATCCCCAGCTTCGACTCCTACAAGTTCCTGTGGGACTGTCTTTGCGCGATGGTTGCTGGCCTTACAAGATAGTGAGGAGGAGAAGAGGAGAGAGATGGAATTGGTAGTTAGAGAAGAAGAGAAGAGAAAGAATCTAAAGATGGTCCACGTGATCGACATTGAAGAGAAAGGAGAAGCGAAGGAGGTAGCTGGCGAGGAAGAAGAGGGGAGAGTGAGCATTTGTGTTCCACCCAAAAATGCCCTGTTGTTGATGAGATGCAGATCTGATCCTGTGAAGATGGCTTCTCTGGCTAATCGCTACTGGGAATCCTCTGTCACAAAGGCCGGCGACGACGAAGACGATGATGAAGACGGAGAGGATGACAACGAAGATGATCGTATTGATGAACAGCAAAAAAGCGAAGGAGAAGAAGGCAATGGGGAAAAAGACGAAGATGAAGAAGAATTCCGGGAAGTAATAGTTCAGCTAGAAGAGGACCAAGGACAAATGGGAATGTCTGATAAGAGGGCCTCAATCGAAGAAATTGGAGAACACCAAAACCCACAAAAGCACGAGAAGTTCGAAATGCAAGAATACCCAACTAAAGAAGAAGAAGAAAAGCCAGATGAAGAACAAGAAGAAAATCCAGAAAAGCAGCAAGAAAGAAAGATGGAGCTTACAAAAGAAGAAATCTTGGTAAATGGGTCTTCAGCTGAATCCCCAGAAGAACCTAAAAACCAGGAAAAGGAAAGAAGCGATGGAGAAATAGAGCAAGACGCCCATTTGACGGAGACAATAAAGGAAGCAGAAGAGGCGAGGAGAGCAAGCGTTTCTTCTTCTTCTTCTCGCTCTTCACAGGATCCCGAAGCCGAACCAGGAGGTCCAAGGCCAACATTAGCAGACCCAGTGGCAGCTTTGGAAGAGGGAGTTGAAAAGTCAATAAAAGAGAAAGGGACGGAGAAGACCTACGAGAGATATGCAAAGGAGCAACAACTGCAACAACAAGAAAATCATGAACATGATGAAGGAGACAGGTCAAAGGTGAGAGAAGAAGATTCTGTGCTACCCGATTGCTTGCTGTTGATGATGTACGAGCCAAAGCTGTCGATGGAGGTATCAAAGGAGACCTGGGTTTGCAGTACCGACTTCGTTAGATGTCGCCCTTCGAAACAAACCACCGCGTCGACCGTGAGGAACGGCGGAGATGAATGCAAGCGGAGAGTGAGTACCGACACAAACCCTGGAGTGCAGGTGCAGCAGCAGAAACAGCGACACCATCGGAAGCAACCGCTCCGGCCACTGCCGCAGGCTGCCCGGAAATCCTGTTCAAATCCGGTTCCAGCCCGGAAATCATGTTCCAATGGGCCACCGGCGGCGCCATCCATGGCGAACATGATCGAGCAGAAGCTAGTGAATGCAGAGGCGTACGAACCTTTCGTGCTGACGCGATGCAAGTCGGAGCCGATGCGATCCTCGGCTAAGCATGCGCAGGAGTCTTGTTTCTGGAATAACGGAAAGCTTGAGTATCTTGAGCCTCATCGCCCTACGATCGGCATCGGCGCGGCTGGTATTGGCTACTAAGTAAAGCCGACTAGAACTGGCGCCCGAGCCGTTTTTCCCGTGTAGAGTGTAGTAGTCTGTACTCTGTCGAGTCCCTATGTACATCTTTTTTATTTTATTTTATTTTAAATCAAGTTTATTTTTAATTTTTCGAAGAAAATGACAACATATCTTATGGCCCCACGTATTGAACTGGTTCTTAATGGTCTCGATTGATGGGCATTTTCCACGTGGGACTCAATATTTTAGTGTCTTCCACTGACAACAGAGAGTTGCTGGGTTTACCACTAATTTCGTGCATGTGGCGCACTTGGGGCCCAGGCCCACTAATTTCAGCCACGGGATGACGCCATGACGGGACTGGTCACTTGGTCAGTGGTCATCGTATCAGAGACACATGTGGATGATTAAGTTCTGTAGGCTGTCCATCCAGTTTGAATAAATCAGATGGACTAGGGATGTTAAACCCATCATCTGAAGGACTTGGAATCTTGGTATTTTAATGGGCCTGTCTTGGTTACTTAATGCATGGGCCGCCTCGTTTATATGATTTGAAAATGGTCTCCACTCTCCATTAAGGCTCTCTTTGCAGTACAAATCTGAATTGGATATAAATTTTGTACCGAATTCAGTTTTGCATCGTTTATTTGTAGTTTTGAAGTTATATGCACTAATATGTGATACAATATTTATACTTTTTGTCATATTTGTACCCACCCATTTCCATTTCAACAAATGATAAAATTTGCATTACCTTTCTCCATTCTCAACTCTCTTTCATATAAATTATAGTGGGAACCATATGGTCTATGTTTTCTACTATGCCAAATAAATGACTTTCCTCCTAGTTGCGCGATCTGGTGCTCCTTGTTGATGGTAATTTAGACGTCAGATTAGGTAGGCTACTTGGATTGCTTTACTCAGTGTAGGTATTTCGATGTTTAAGCTAGCGAATTGGAATTTTTAGAAACCTAAAAAGGGAGAGAGCTAGAGAGCTTGGGTGCTAAATCATGTGTCCCCTTTCTTAGAAAATGGGGGCGCTTTTATATAGGCATTGTTTGGCATGAGTTTTATGCACCGCGTTTGAGATTCTCGGGAGGACATGAATTATTAGTCCGAAGTCCTTAGAGGTAGTTTCACACGCGGACTAGGCTTCCGTGCCTTATCCGGTTGCCTCCGAAACGAGCGATGCGAGAGTCGACTTCCAGAGGACCTGAGAGTGATAAGATGCACGCAGAGGAAGTCGACGAGCATGTCTCGTAGGTCACCACCTGGACCTCAGTTATGTCAGTAAGTCCTTCGGGGGAGGTCGTTCCTCACGTTGAGGTCCCTTGGACCAGTACCGGCAAGGTATCACAGGTTGGTCCTAGACGAGGTGCCCGAGCTATATACAAGGTGCTTGGACTAGTTTTGGGGTGCACCTCCTTGACTTGGTGAGATCTACAGTTGTTTGTGTGGTGTCAAGGTGTCATGTGGCGGCATATTGTGCCACATGTCGCGATGTCATTGGAGGGCCAAATCACCTTTCATCAATTGCCCCCCGCCATCGAGATAAGGTCGGTTCGGCAAAGGGAGTAGCTCATTGTGGGTCTTTGGCCCTAGAATGACTAGTTCGATCATTTTGTAGGCATCGGTCCAATTTGCTCTCAAAGTTGGAAAAGCCTAAGGGTTGAAGGTAGCATTACGCAGGACTTTGCCGTCTTGATTATTGGGGCATGGGAGTGAACTCATCTACTCGAAGAGAGGTGGATTAGACACTCTAAGGACATCTACCGTACTCGGGATGTAACCGTCAAGGAGTTCTGCAATTTGGCTGAACACCTTAGGAGTGGAATTCGTTATGTCATTCTTAAGATGGGCTTCAAACTACACAACTACCTCTTCAAGTCACTCCACTTACGCAGACTTCAACGCAATGTCCCTCAAGTTGATCCTTAAAGGAGTAGACGACAAGGTTGATGTGGAGCTTGAAACCGAGGTGGAGGATGACTGTGAAGAAGTCGACCAAGTTTGCATGTTTACCGAGGTGCTAAAAGCGAACTGGTCTTCCTTTGAACCAAAGTACACTTAGGTCGTGGTGCTAAAAAGCGGACTAGTCAATTAGAGTATCGACAAAGTCAAAATGCTGTTGAGGTAGTTAGATGGGGCAACCTGCATAAATCGGGCTAACGTGTCTCGAGGTTGGTTTGAGGGGGCCTTAAAGCTGAAAGTGGTTTAGCTTCTTTTTAATTTTTCTAGCCAAGGTGCTTATAATGTAGGTCGACTTTATCCTAGTCTCCGAAGCGGGTGGTCGAGGTTTACGTTTTACGTAAGTCGAGGCTGCACTTGAGCCTTAGACGTAGTATCTTCGCAGATTGTTGATGCTCCATGCACGAGGTACCTGCCTCCCGTTTAAGGTTTCGAGTTCGTATGTGCCTTTGTTGATAACCCTTAAGACTTTGTAGGGGCCTTAATAGTTTAAACTCAGTTTTTCCACACTAGGCTTAGGTGCCATAATTTTTTTGAGTATTAGGCTGCCAACTCAAAATTGGCGTTTCTTAACTTGGGCGTTATAGTACCGAGCTACTTGCTACTAGTACGCTGTGGTCTGGGTGTAGGCCAAATTGAGAACTTCCTCCACTAGGTTAAGGTTAGTCTGTAGCTTGTCCTTGTTGGCCTCTTTGTCATGCGTATCAAACCGTAAGATTGGCACTTAGATGTTGGTTGGGATGACAACCTCCATCCCATACGTCAAGTTGAAGGGAGTCTCACTAGTTTCTATCTTGATCATAGTTTGGTAGGCCCACTGAGCACTGGGCATTTCATCCACCCATAGACCCTTAGCTTGAGAGAGTTGAGCTTTGAGGCCTCGCAAAATGGCTCTATTGGTGACTTTGGCCTGCCCGTTGGCATGAGGGTGAGCTACCGAGGTGAAATTTTGCTAAATCCCCATCTTGGCACACCAGTTCTAAAATTAGATGTCTTCGAACTTAATTCTGTTGTTTGAGATTAGCATACATGGCAGTCCGAAGTGGCAGACGATGTTGTTCCAAGCTGAGATAAAGACTAGCGGTTTGACTTTTACCCACTTGGTGAAGTAGTCTACCATAACGACCAAGAACCTTCTCTGCCCGGTTGCTAATGAAAAGGGACTAAGTATGTCAATCCCCCATTGCGCAAATGACCACAAATTGATCAGGTACCTTAGGTCGATAGTGGGCTGTCGGGGTATGTTGGCATGCCGCTGACACCTATCACATTTCTACACGAGCTGGGTGGCACTTGCCTTCATTGTTGGCTAGTAATATCCTTGTCACAATTCTTTTTGGACTAGCTCTTTGCTCCCTAAGTGTCCGCCGTGGAGGCCTTCATGGATCTCTTGTAGCACTTGGTCTGCTTTGGTCGGACGTAAGTAGCGCAGTTAGGGGAGTGTAAACGACTTGTGGTATAGTTGCTCGTCAATGATCATATAGTGAGCGGACTGCTACTCTACCCTCGTGCCACATTATGATCTTTAGGGAGGGTCTTGTGGCGTAGATAGTCAACGAGCAGATCTATCTAGCTCGATTCTGTGGCCATGATAGAAGCAACCTCTTTTGCTACTCTTTTGATGCTTGGTCGTGGTAGGTCTTTGATATAGATAGTTCTCTTCACGATGTTTGTTGCATTGACCAGTTTTGAGAGCGCATCGGCCTTAGTGTTCTCAGATCGGGATTTGCTAGATGCACGAAGAGTGGAAGTTGGGCAGGAACTCTTTAACCTTGGCTTGGTAGGCCAAAATGGCAGGCTCCTGGGCTTTATATTGCCCATTCACTTGGTTGATGATCAGTTGCGAGTTGTTGTAGACGATGAGGGTGTTTTGCACCAACTTCCTTTGCCAAGGACAGCTTGACTATAAGCGCCCCGCACTCAACTTCGTTTTCAAGGCTTAGAATGTGAATTGAAGAACGTACTCTAATTTCACTTTGCTAGGTCCATAGAGGATCAGTCTAGCTTCGCTTTTGTGCTGTTGGACGAGCCGTCCACATGGAGGATCCAGGGCTCCTCGTCCAAAGTTGTGTTGGGTGACACACTGGTTGGTGCCTTTGATGTGGTCACGAGCTCGACAACTTTATAGGTCGACATGCTAAACGTGCACTCGGCCACGAAGTTAGCTAAGACATGCGCCTTGATTGTTGGGCGTGGCTCAAATTGGATGTCATATTCATTGAGCTAGATTGCCCATTTCCTCAGCCTTCCCAAGACCTTAAGCTTCTGAAGAACTTGCCCCAGAGGTCGATCGGTTAAGATTACCATGGTATGGACTTGAAAATAATAAGGGCGCAACTTTCGGGCTGTGAATATCAAGCCAAAGGCCAACTTTTCTATGTTGGGATATTTGGTCTCGGCAGCGCGCAGGACTTTACTTACATAGTAGGCAGGTCGCTACACTTTGTCCACCTTGCGAATTAGGATTGAGCTGACTACTTCATCACTCACAGAGAGGTAGAGTTTTAGCTCACCTCTAGGTTTTGGCTTGGTTAACAAGGACGACGAACTTAGGTACCTTTTCAACTTGTCAAACGCGAGCTGACAATCTTTGGTCCATTCAAAGTCTTGGTTCTTCTTAATGGCTTTAAAGAATAGAAGGCACCGCCTAGCTGACTTAGACATAAAACTGATTCAAGGTGGATATCCGACCTGTTAGCCTTTTGTACCTCTTTTATTGTTCTAGGAGGTCACATATCTAGTATGACCTGAATTTTGTTTGGATTGGCTTCGATACCTCATCGGTTTACTATGTACTCGAGGAACTTTCTTGATGCGACACCGAAGACACATTTGAATTGAGCTTTAGATTAAAATTTTTAAGTATGTTGAAGACATCAGTCAGGTCAGCAATTAGAGTTTCATGGGATTTGCTCTTTGCGACCATGTCGTCTATGTACACCTCCACTTTGTTGCCAATCAAATGGGCAAAAATTTTATTCACAAGGTGCTGATAGCTCACCCCTGCGTTCTTTAGGCCAAAGGGCATGACCTTGTAACAATAAAGGGCGGTTTCAGTCACACAGGTCGTTTTCTCTTGGTCTGTAGGACCCATCTAGATTTGGTTATAACCATAGTATGCGTCCATGAAACTCAATAGCTCAAACCCCAAGGTCGGATCTAGTAGGCGGTTTGTCCTGGGGAGTGGTAAAATATCCTTTGGGCAGACTTTGTTGAGGTTGGTATAGTC